TATATATACAGCCAATGGAAAACTTATCTGATTGTTCATTTAATTCTTTTTACATAATATAGTGTGTCTATTATGTACTATATATAATTTTTATCTTTTTATACTATAATCTTCTAATCTATTTAGAAAACTCATTCCTAAAAGTATATAAAGATTTATATCTATACTCTTATCTATATAATATGGTACTAAAAGATTTATTCCTCCTATTTTTATTGGTATTTTAAGATCTAATTTTGAAATATATATTTATCCATCAAAATTTACATATTTATATGAATCAGTTTTATGAATTATTAATCCTTTATTTTTTATTGAAAGTATATGACATTCACTAGCTCTTGTATATATTAATATATTTGGTTCATTTATATATTCTCCTTCTATTTTCATATTTTCAGCATTTCTATAAAATTTTATCTCTTTTATATTACTGAATTCTTCTAACTGATTTTTGTTAGGTATTCTAAGACTTTTTGATCTTTTAATTAATTTTTCATCCTTAAATGTTATATTATTAGAACATTCTCCTTCATTTAATTATGTTATTTTAGGTTTATTTCTTGTAATACTAAATTCATATTCTTCTGGAATTAAATTTATTTATTTATTTAGTTCTATTATTTTACTAATATCCTTACATTCTTTATGTATTTCAATACATGGTTTATTTGAATAAATATTCTCATAATTAGAATTTGGTAAATGTGTATAATGTTCTATACTCTATAGTCATAATTTGATTACCTGGTTGCATAATATCATCTCTATGTAGTTTAAAATGCAATCCTAAAACGTCATTAAAGTTTCTATCTTTCAATGATACACAATACTTTGGGTAGCATATAAACATTATTTTTGATATGCTAAATTTCCTTCTATTGTTCTTAAATGACTATCTTTTAGATTTATTATTTTTCAATTATGTAAGGTTATAGTTAAGTGTGGGTCTATCCCTTTTCTAAATAATGATTTAAACATTATTTGCATTCATGCTAGATGTTTGTATTGAAATTTTTTACTTTGTTTTTTACTAACCTTTGTTAGTAATTCTTCAACAGTATTTTTTGTTAAAAGATTTAATTTATGATTTTCATATGTTGTTTTTACATCTATAATTTTCTCAATTTTATGATATTCATTTATTGCTATTCTTTCTCTTTTCCAAATCTATCTAAGACTTCCTATTTTCCTATTTTTAAATCTAAAGATAATTTTTGAAAATTTCTAAATTTATTGTTATAAAATGTAACTTTTAATTCATAACCTTCCATTCTTTCATATTCTTGTATATTTAAATTATTATTTTCTATTTCCTCTATTTTCTTATTCAAAATTCTAATTCTTCTGTTTTATTTATATATACTTCTTGATTATAATATTGTCCAATATCCGATATTTCACTTAATTCATCTTTTATTTCCAAATATTCTTTTTGTAATATTTTAACCTTTTTATTTATTTATCAAGATCAGGACTTATATGATCTATTTCCTCATAATTCCAATATTTATATTAGCTTTTATTTTTCTTATAATTTTTATTTTTTTGTTGACCATATGAGGTATTTTTTCTTTCATAATATCTTCTTCTAGGTTTTATATATTTTTTTTTATTAAAATTTCAAAATTTTTTAAACTTCTTATTTTTATATTTTCTTTTATTAATCTTTCTTTCAGAATTACATCCCATCGTACATGGATTTCTATATCTTCACAACATATTCTAGTCAGTTTTCCTGATTTTTTTCAATAATTGTTTTTGTTAACATGTATATTCAAGCCTTTCAAATAAAAATTTTATTATTGATCGTAAAGTTCTAGGTATTCCAACATTATCTCTAACATATTTTTCAAATTCCATTTTAAAATATATTTCCCATGAACCTGGTAACTTATTATAATACATCTTTTGGTATACTTCTTGATTTTCATTACTATAGAACTGAACATAATAATAATTTCTAAATTCACAAGTATGTTCTTTAATTTTACAGATATCACATATTGTTAAATTTATTAATTTAATTCTAACATTATCTTTTTCTCTTATTGCTTTTCTTTCAGCATTTCTTATCCAATTTTCTCCTAAAAATTCATTTGAAATATATTCTACTAACTTTTCTATACCTTGTCTATCTGATTTTAGTATCTCTATTTGTACATTTCTTTTTATTAATGTTTTTGTATCATTACTTGTTCATTCCCACCAATTTCTAATATATCCTTCAAAGGATGCTGTTAAAAAATCTATTCTTCTTCAGTACTTTCCCATGCGTCATATTTATTATATAAAAAGAATAATATCATTGAATCTGCCCAAGTTAATAAGGCTTTTTTAGCATCTATTTTACAATTTAAATCTAATTTTGTTCCACCATGGTAAATAAGTTTATCATAATTATCATTTAATTCAAACCTGTCTTTATATTTATTTCCTTTAGGTGGTTGTCTATCTCTTACTTTATCATAAAATTGTCTATATGGTTTATTATATATAGGTGTATAACTTTCATCTGATTCTTGCAATTTTTGTTTAGAGGTTCTTATTGGATTATGTTCTCCTCCAGTATTCATTAAAACTTGGTATTCAGTTACATCACTTAAACTTAACTGATCAAAATTTTCCATTAGTAAATCTAATTCCTTATTCATCTTTATCTTCTGCTTTTAATTTTCCTAATATATTTTCTCAAGATTCTTCATTTTCTTCTAATATTTTAGATAATATATTCTTTCTAAATTCATCATCCATACTTCCTGTTTCTATTATTATATTCTCTTTCTCAATATGTTTCTTTTTTATTCGGGTAATTTCTTTTTCTATTAATTATTTATCTATTTTCTTTTCTTTATTTTTATTATTTTCTTTTATTTCTCTAATTTCAATTTTTAATATGTTTATTTCGTTTCTTATTTCTTTTACTTCATATCTTAAATCTTGTACATCATTTATTAACATTTGTATTAATGGTTTTAATTCTTCCATATATTCACTTATTGACATATTAAATTTTTCTAATCATCTTTCTAGCATATAAGTTAATTTGCATTTTTTATCTTATTTTTTGTCTATTATTATTCCAAATCTTCTATTAGCTATATCTGTATTTATTAATTCTTCTTTTACTATATTAAAATATTTACTCTCAAGTCTTAATCTTTCACATTTAAATTTTATTAATTGTCTTTTACTTGATACTCTTATTCCTTCTGGTATTAACATTATATCTTGTATTTTTTTCCATTTTTATAAGTGATTTATTCAATTTCAAATTTGTATTATTACTTGCACTCATATTTCTCTTTATAATATAAATTAATTTTTTCATCTTCATATACTTTAACAATTTTTTCACATATATATTTTTCCTTTATCGATCCTATTATTGATTTTTCTAATATTTGTTCTTTTATTTCTTTGGGTAGGTCTTTAATTATTGTTAATGTCATTATTTATTTTTAATTTATTATGGATAAGTTTTAAACATATATAACTTCCTATTTCTTCTTCTAAATGCCGATAATTATTTATTTTTCTTATTTTAATTTCCAATATCTATATGGCCCTGATACCAATTAGGGGGTGCTACTTTGAGTGAACCAAAAACAAATAAATCAAATAAACAATAAATCTATTAAAATTCAAATAAAAGATGTATATTCTAAATATTCTTTTAAATGTCTAACATTTAATCTGTTATTTATCAGTTTTAAATAAAATCTAAGTGTTATCATGTATCTAAAATACTTAACTTCTTGAGATAATCTATTTGTTATAGGTTTTCTCATAATTTTCTCAAGGTTTATAGTGACTTATTATGCAATATTCAAAAGGAACGGTATTTCAAGTATTTTAATATGATAAATTGGTCAAAGGTCATTTTAAGTATTTTAATATGAAAAACAGCCTCTTTGATTAGGTCATTTCCATGTATTTCCCCAATAATCGCACCTTAACCTGTACTCGTGAAAAATGTACTAAATAGGGTAACATAAATGGAAACAAAACTGACCTTTAATGCCAATTGTTGAGAGGTAATTAGCTCTACATTTAAAACGTGCTTATCTGATTCTTGCAATCTCAAATAATAATATAATTAATAACTACTTGAGAAACAGTAACAGAACTTCAATCTACTCAACTCGCGTACAGACCTCTAATCGTCAAAGTTCAGGAAGCCAGAGAGCTCAAATGGTCAAGAGTTTCAGGTCTATCACATGCATAAGTTAGAACAATTATATCGGCGTTCATTAGTTCTTCAACAAGTCTACCTCTATTCTGAGGACTGCATCTTGCAAACAAATCACAGAAACGATCAAATTCCAACTCAGATGTACTCTAAAGAAAAATGTAAATGCAGTAACGAGCATTCAAACTAGATAAAATCAATGATGCACATCCCGATTATCACAATCACATAGTTGCAAAAAACATATGAAACGGTAGATCATTAGTTGGGACAAATTCGAACTCAGTAACATTGATCATATATACTTGCAGACTTATTTATTAACAACCACATGCATTTGTACACATATATCGTATACAAATAGGTACCTATAGATCCGTGTGTTTGTATTCAACCGTGAAATGATCATTTTATAAAGACCAGAACAAGTTGTATTGCGAGTGCATGTCAGAGAGGTGCTACAGGTACAGGGGTCTATTTTACAGACCTGCTAGAACAGACACACACATGGGCCCCGGTGTTTTTTTTTTCAATGTGGGACCAACCCCTACAGTGAGGGGTCGGTAAGGCTTCTGTGAGAAATTTCTCGTGTGATTTTAGACTAACACAACACCCAGACACATACCGTTACCTGCACTTATAGACTCGTTCCAATTGCATAATTAGTTTTTAACACCTAATGCAAACACTAATATATTTTAAAAAAACATAATTCATGACATGAAAAAGAAGTTAAAATCACAATAAAGACTGTAAAAAGCCAAGAATTGGAGGATAAGAGGAAAAAGGAGTTAAAATCACAATGCAATGAAGTGAAAGCTAGCAACACAATAAGAAGAATAAAAGTTCAAATTCATTTAGTTGTCCAAGTACATTAACTTTTTCCTGTATAAAGCCATACAAATACAAGTGACGTGTAATTGGGATTATAAGCATAAATAAATCCATTAGGAAATTGAGGACCTGAAGGATATCAATAATGGCGACGGGGGATGTGGTCCAGGTAGATGTCTTCCAATGGCTTTGTAGGTGACTGGATCGGAGAAGCATTGATTGGAAAATTTTCCGCCGCAGCCGTGACTATCAAGCTCAATTCCCCATCTTTGCGTCCCCAGCGACTACTATTCTCACACCAGCAGCATTCCCTGTTGCATCAGAAGCAGAAGCACCACTTCCCATTGCTCAAGTTGTACTTGCTCAAGTTCATTAATTTTGGGTCGAGCCTGGTCAAGTACTACGTCAAGGATATCTCAAGTACTACGTCAAGGACAGATATCAATGGAGCAGCATTTGTTCGTTGGTTGAGTATGGGTTGGCCAATTACTTGCTCTAATGCATCTAATATTTTCCTGCCAAAGGCTAAAAATTAGAAGTCGAGCACAAAAGGAAAGAAAACTCTACATTTGTTTATCAAATGGATCCAAGTTTTAGCAATCAACTCGTTGTCAACATACCACAAATCTTCAACTATAAAATTGTTCAATCACCTTAAGAAAAGCCAAACATATAATTGTACAGAATATCACATTTTGCAAAATAAGATCTCTCTTATTATAGGTGCAGATATTCATCATCCAAATTCAACCCAGCAACGAAAATTTGTAACAAATTGGGAAAACGAAGACATGGAAGAAAAAAAATACCTGGTGTAGAAGCCCTCTATTTAGACCCGACACAAAATGTGGACTATGACCAGGCCCTTTGCTGATGAATTAGGGTATTCTTCCTCCAACTTCGTTGAATTCTTCTTCCAAATAAACAAGTCCATAAACCAAAGAAGCAAACCAAGACATACCATTTTCCATCATTCTGCCGGAATTAATAGAAGGTGGGAGACGATTGTTCCCTTGCTCAAACGAAGAACAAGCATCTCATCAACTTCCAAAAAAAATAAATATAAAATAATATTAACGGAACAGTAAATGGCGTTAGAGCTTCCGGCCATAGAAGTGTGATGACGGTGGAAGCGCAAAATAAGTTACACTAAGGATGGCCGGAGGAATCGCCACAGCCGTGAGTAAAGCGATCAACGAAGACATTGGGTAAGGGCAAACGGGTTCCTCAATTTTTTCCTTTTTTTTTTTTTTTCATGAGGATTTTGAATTACCAATGAACGGTACCAAAATGGTTAAAGTAGATGTGGGCGCGAGTCGGTTCGGTTCGATTCTAAAGAGAATCGAATCGAGTCAAAATTTTTGGGTATCTAGTAAATGGAACCGTCGAGTCCAAATATAATTATGGAACCGTTTGGGTTCGATTCCGTTTCTATTCGGTTCGATTCGATTCGGTTCCGTTCGATTCCGTATAATAATTAAATTTTTTAACATTTATAACGACATTATATAAATGCAACTAATGACACATTCAATGGTTTTGGAATGTCAGAGACTAGTAGATTACCTTGTTCAAATGATCGTTACGGTCAAAACTTCGGTCGGCGGAGGTCACAGCTTCGATCGGATGTTACAAACAGGCTGGCGATTGTATAGGTTTTGGAATGTCAACGAGGCTGCGAGAGTGAATGCGAGAGTTGAGACAACGTTATGCACTTTAATGTAGGTGTTTAGAGTTATTTAGTGGGTTAGATCTTTGTTGGGCTAAGAAATGAAACAATAAAATTGGTTATTGGGCCAAAAATTAAAAAATTAGAAATGAAACAAATTATTACGCCAAAAATTCGGATTTAGAAATTGTTAATTTGTTTAAAAAAATTAAAATTAAAATAATTTAATTTATTCAATATATAAAAAAAAATTAAAAAGATTCGGTTCTTCGGTTCTTGATTTAGAACCGAACCGTACCCATCGGTTCTCAATTCAGATACCCGTTTGAGTATTTAATTTGACAAGAATCGTCGAGTTCGGTTAGGTTCGGTCGGTTTGGTTTGGGAGATTTGCCTAACCCTAAGTTAAATAGTACAAAAACACGCACTCGAAGACTATTTTAGTTCCCGTTTGGCTCCTATTAATTTTCATTACATTACATTTCATTTTTTTCTTTTCAATTTTCAATTACACAATTTTCCATAAAATAATATTACACGTAAATTGAAAATTTTTCCTTCTTTTTCAATTTTCAAAAAAACTCTATTCCACCGATTTTCATTTATACAAAATGGAAACGAGAGCTAAATCAGGCTCGAATTTTGATAACACTAAGATTGTCAGCCTTTATTTATCAAACATAATTGTACTAATAGATTAATTCATAAAATTTTAGATGTTAATGACCAAAAAATTAATATGATTTAAATAATTCATTAAGTGGAACATTAAAAGTTGTACCCCGTTTGAGAGTAATTTTGTGAATTGATTTTTTAACTGTTAGGAAAAAGTGGGAGCCACATATGAGAGAAAAAGTCAAACTTTACGGTTGAAATAATGAAATAACGATCAAAAAATCAATTTTTTTGGGTGAAAAATCACTCTCAAACACCCGTTAAAATTATGAGTTTTGATGCTTGTACTAACATAACTCTTAAATTTTTATACACTCTATTTTATACATAAAATATTAGATAATCTTTTGGATAGTTTTAAAATAAATCCTCTAAATAGAGAGCATCCTAAATTTTAAAAATAGAATATTTTGAAGTTACTCTTATAATTCAAAGGTTTTGAGGGTGTTGGATGAGGATTAAAATTAAATTTTTTAATAAATTATGATAGAAATTTTTGAAATATGTGTTTAAAAAGTCGTAGAACCCATAAAAGATATAATTAATATTAATTGTTTGACTTTGATTTATATTAAAATTAGAATTTAACCCAAACCAAACAGACTTTTAGCCCTTGTTTGAGCCTCATTTTTTTTTTAAATTTATTTTCAACAACACATTCTTTAATAAAATAATATTACACGCAAACCCAAAATTATTAATTACACATTCTTCACCAATCTACTATTTAAAATGCATTCCTTCAAAACTCAAACAGAAGCTTAATTTTCCACAACTCATGGTCCTATATATTTCATTAGTTCACTGCCAACGTGGAGCATGCTCCAATCATGTATCTACCGTGCATGGTACCAAACATTGCCATTTTAATAAAGCAAACTTCTCTTTACAAACACATCCTTAAACTTCAAGCAACGAAAAAGTCGAGTCTCATCATAAGCTCATGTAATTGAATACAGATTACAACATGCTTGAGTATCATTTCAAAAGACAAGATCACAACTCAGCAAAGAATGAAAAGAAATTCTCAGACGATAAAATTCTGCGATATACACATCCACTCTTCATGTCCAATAGAAGAGCAGTTCCCAATAAACTATCCACCATTATATCAGACCTTTACAAATTGCGGTTGGCTTCATTCGCTTCCAGCAGTATCTACTTTACTCGGAAAAGGTTCAGAAACTCATCATGTAGATACTTGCTCTAAATATAAGGTTCTTGAAATTTTGAGTAGGCCGAATGGGCATCTAGATTAATAATATCTGTACTGTTAATCAAGTATTGTACTCGACTCGAAATATGAGCATTCCATTCACAGTGAAAGTCTTGCAAGAGTCGATTATCTTTATAAGCCAGGCAAACTAAATATTGTAACTCCAGCCTTTGTCCGACACCCACAGCCTGGGAGGGGAAAAGGTAAAATGAGATACAGAACCTGATAAAATTTGTATTTAACCATTTCTACTGAATAAAAATAAAATTTATGAGCATCATCATAGTTTTGATTGAGATGCTCAATAGAGACGAGAGTGTACCGGCTGATTTGAGGGCAGGCATATGTGATACTGACATCATGCAGGAATGTTCCTTATAACTCCACTTGCGGAAACCTCAGGGATTTGCAGGGATCGTCTTGGCGTTTCAGCTAACGGGTTAACTATAAACCCACGACCACCTTGGAGTCGATATCTCCTATTCTCCAACTTAAATCCTTCACGATCTCCATTCTTATCAGGAATGTTGCGTACTCCAGCTACTGATGTGTTTCCATCAGAATCAGAGAATCGAGAGGTTGAAAAATGACCCTCAGTTTTCTTCCAAAGCTTTGAACTCAAGAATTCTGCACCAGGTAATTTGCAACACATGGCACCAGCAGCATCACTTCGTGACATCCTTCCGGTTGAGACAGCTAAATCAAATGAAATTTCATCCAAAGCCAGCTCTAGACCATGAACACGTGTCTCCAGAGAACGCATTCCACTGTGAGAACTCCCAATGAATTTCTAGTTTTGGCAATGAAGAAAAGATGTGAGAGCAATGCTTCACAAATTGAAAATTTGGTTAACATTTAATTAGCAGGGAACTGCTGCTATTAGAGATACAAGTAGAGGGGAAACCAAGTGTTAAATCCAGACTAATAAGGATATCATCCTAGGGCCAGGATTCAGTTGACTACAAAATGTTCCAGAGTAATAAGGATATCATCCTACGGCCAAAATTCAGTTGACCATAGAGCTCGAAACTTCTTGTACACATTTTAGGATAGAAATAACCAAATTCACTGGTAATTGGTCTAATCCGGAAAAAGTTAAATTCATGAACAAACAAGAAATTGAATGCTAGAGTCAACTTAGACTGCAATATATTCCAAATCATCAATCATTCTACTAAAAAATATAGTCAAAGACGTTCGTGTAACACCAAAAAACTTCAAGTCATCAATTGAAAACAGAACGTAAATTTGTCTGGAAATTCACATCTTCATGCCTTGTTTGGATCTAGGGTTTGTGAGAAAAGACAAGCAAAAACTCTAATCAATCATTTTCACGCGTTCCTTCATTCGGTGTAATAACAGGGTAATAAATTCGTGAAAGATGTATAAATATTTTCTTAACTTGGCAAAATCTGATGAGGTCCCTCCCAGTCTTCACAATTTGCCACCCAACGTAAAGCAAAAGGATGCCTCCTCCCATAAATGTAGACCCAAGAGCCGCCACCAAACAAAAAAGCTGCCTAGTATAGGGCTCTCAAACTACCATCTGAAATCTATGCAATTCAACTTCGATCGGTAGTACTAGCCACCAAAATGTTACCGGTATTTATGGAGATTAAGGTCATTTATTTTATCCAATACAACTTATTAACGGAGAAGAGGTTTGGAAAAATTGACGGCGTTGATCTCAAGTTCGTTACCACTTCAAAATTTATGATTTCACCAGGGACGAGCTTTTAGTTTTTCAGTAGAAAAGAAGAAACTCATTGATGAGCCATGCATAGGGAAGTGCAATGGAGTTGGAGGATACAGCTTTCAGTAAACTGGAGGCTATAATTTACAGAAGGGACAGCAAGGGGAGTAGGGGAGAAGGCGGTTTCAGTTTCAAAAAGGTATTTGCAATCTTTTATTTATGTTATTTTAGTGGAAAAGGTTTTTTGTTTTTTTTTTTGGTTCATTATGAACTTCCTTTAATTTATTTTTACTTTAGATTTTCTCCTTATATTTGTTCTTACCTTGCTACACAGATACTACACTAGATAAGCCTGGAAGGCAAAGGATATCATGAACAAATAACTCAAGATTGATATCCTAATAACAACAATATCATTGCAGGTCAGCACATTAAAAACATATGGAAAAAAATTAGTACATGTAGAAGCCAAGTACCTGGAGAATGTCTAACAAATTGGATTGCTGGTTTTCAATTTGCACAAGCTGCTTTCGGATGAGAGAAAGGTCCTCACACTCTTTCTGGTTTCTACAAGGAACTCCAGTTTCATTAACAGTGACAAAACTTTCATGGTCAGATGGCATCACACGAGACACAGGCTTAAAAAAGCCAAGTTTCTGCTTCTTTTCATCAGAGTTCTCATTGAAAAGGGCCCGTTTTATTTCTGGCTTGGTAAATTTATTTCTTTCCTCCTCAACGGTTTTCAACACTCTCTCACCTCTAGTCAAAGGATTATCCTTTGAAACATCTATAACAGAAGAACCACCAGCAATTTGAACTTTCCAATCAGAAGGCTTCTTCGGGTCCAACTTCCTAAACATAGCAGGACCAATTTTCCTGTCATTACCACCAAGAGGACTTCTTTTTCTGGCTGTAGTAGCAGAAGAGCCATCAGCTGATGGTGTTCTGTCAACTGGGTTATCAAAAGGACCTCTTTTCCTTACTACAGGAGCAGTCGAGCTAACTGTACAAGAAGTTTTGAAGCCAGGTGGATAACGTCCATCACTAGGACTTTCTGTACCCAGAACAAAAAATTTTAGCGATTGAAAATTTTGAGAACATATCAAAAAGGAACAGTGGGGAAAAATGTTGCTCCTGTCTAAAAATAAATAGCAGAAGAAAAAATGAGCCAACAGTAGTTTAAAAGAAGTTCAAAGAGTATTTGAATGAAACTCCAAGTAAAATAACTGAATTACTGGCTGAAGACGCATACAGAATAGAAAATATCAGAATCAAACCAAAAGAAGGAAAGAACAAGCAATTTGAATCAATATATCAGAATCAAACCAAAAGAAGGAAGAATAAGCAATTTGAATCACTGAAGAAATCAAGAATTGAAATTCCGAGCTTGTCAATTAAAAAAAGCACATTAAGAAAAGAAAGATGAACAACTCATATCAAGATTAGAAATTGGAATTAAAAACAGTTTACTTGTGCTCAACTCAGTGCCGATAAACTTGTATAGAAGAATTATAATCTGAACCAGTAATAGAAAAAATTAATTAGCTTAAATTCATATTGTATGTTCTAAAGAATTTGATGCAAAGTCAAATAATGAATTTGATCTTTCAAATCTGAAACAATCAAATTAGCAAGAGAATAATCAGATCAAATACGCATGAAAGGACTTAATTAAAACATATACCTTCAGATGACGCCTGTAATTCAGCAGACTGTGAGACTTCATCTGATAGATCAGGAATCTCTTTCCAAGCATCTATCATCTGATTCATGGTCTCCCTCACTGCCTTTACCTAAACAAATCAACACAAATTGATCGATAATTCTACCTTTGAAACTCAGATTATTAGTAGTAAGACGTCAAACAGATTTAATCTAGATTCAATTCAATTCAACATCAGACCTTGTCAAATCTCTTTGCCTCAAAGGTCTTCAAACACGAACTTTTATATTCAGATAAAGCATAGTTATCCGCCCCCGCAATCTTCATCAACGTCTCTGCAGCTGCCTTCCTCGCAGTCCAATCCTCACTACTCAAGAACTCCACCAAACACATTACTAAATTCTTAATCAGGTTTCCACCACCATTCAACACACCATTCAGTTCCACCACGCTCCCCATCAGCGTCAACAATGCGGCTTTTGCCTTGAAACTCTCGCATTTTGCCAACTTCTCGAACCTCGGTAACAGGCGTTTCAAGCTACCGGAATCCGGATTTTGTGATCCTTCGATTATTGATACCAAACAGAGAGCAGCACCTGTCTGAGTATTAGAGTCCTGTTCTCTGAACAGAGATTCAAGGAATGGCTTGGTAATGGAAGCAAAAGATGGCGTTGTGAGATGTGAAGAGAGGGAGAGTGAAGCAGATACGCAGGCAGAGCGGACGGAAGAATCCGGATCCCGGAGTCGGCGGACGATGGCGGAGAGGAGTTTGGATAGGTGTGGGGAGAGAGAGTTTCCGTGGTGCTCGGATAGCACCGAAATGAGTCGGACACACTGGCGGCGGACAGGAGACTTATCCGACGAGTCGGTGGCGGAGATAGAAGAGAGAAACGGCGGAAGTGCGTCGGTGGAGAGAGATCTCGCAATAGATTCCAACTCCGAAGCGGCGACGGCATGCGTATCCCTGTCGGAAAGCTTGTGGAGGCACGTAAGCACACGGTGCTTCAGGTCCCGTGCTTTAGCCTGGCTCTGCTGCTTGGAGTTGGAAGCCGACATTCTATAACAAAATATATACACACACACACACACTAGTGTCGCTATAGGAAATTAAGTTCGGGTGTCTATGGGTGGTTTGGATGGTGGCGCCGTCGGTATCCCCGACTGCATTGCAGTGTTTTAGTGCGGTGGAGGTGTCAGAGGCATTAAAGACTTTTGTTTGCTTTCTCTCTCTGTTCGTTGCTTTACCTGCTTATAAAGAGCAATTTAGAGGTATCTTATTTATCTACCTGCCATTGGGAAAGTCACGCAAAGAGAGCCGTTAATTACTGGAAATGGCGATACTACGGCGTTTGATTAGCCGTAGGACTTATCCGACGACGTATCAGAAGCGCGCCTTGCTTCCCTGTGTTCCCTCCTTATTTACTACTGGTAATAAATATTAATACTAATCTCCGCACAAAATAGTATGTGTATATTGAGTTAATTTTACCAATTGTAACTTGAGTTTGAGCAAAATTTCAATTTGGTCATTAAAGATTTTTTCTGGCCCATTTAGCACTAAAGTTTATAATGATTTCATCATAGCGAATGGGTTAGAAAAATTAGCATATAATCCGATGTAACATCTATTAAGTTACAAGATGGTTTCTTATATATGTGATTCATATGGACAAAACTTCTTCCTACACTACCAAAATTTCAATTTTGTTGCGGCTATTATCTTATGTTAAGGTTAGATTTTGAAGTAATTTAGATGAAAGATGGATTTGAGAATTTATTTGCATAGTTTTATTCCATCCAATTGAATTTTAATTTGCAATCTGAATTAACGCACATCAGCTTGACGTTTAAAAGATATCACATCGTAATTTTTTCTAACTGAGTGATCTGCGGTGACGACGCGTATCACGTGAGTATTGAAGATAATATTCTATTAAAATTATTAAAGATTAATTTGTAGGTGTTTTTTATTTGACTTTATTATTGGAGGTTAGACAAATGAATATTAGCTGGATATTCTTTGGTGGAACTTTTCTTCTATGCATTAAACAAATAATTATTTCATTAATTAGTAGATTAGGTTATAGATTATATAACAAATGGATGTTATTAGAGTTTTTTTTCCCATTTTCCAATATTTATCAACAATTCAAATCTATTATGAAAGATTAATTTTTAACCTTTAATTATATTTGAACAATCAATAAATCAAATAACCAAAAAATAATCTAAATCTACGTTGCATCATTTCTGGATTTCAGATATTTGGTAGCAAATAATAAATATGCCGGGGTCTTCAGGTTAATCGAAAAAGAAAAATTAGGAATGGCCGCTCTCGACTCATCAAGGTTTTTTTAGGAAGCACGACGAAATTAAAATATTTCAATTTATCACTTCATTTATTTATTTTTATTCTTCTAATGCTATTTTTAAAAAACTTTTTAATTAAAAAAAAAATAAAATCAGCACGGGTTCAGGATAAGATCGGGTATTTACCATGAGGAAAAAAAACAGGGACAGTGATTAATTAGAGAGGGAAGGACAGTTAATACCGTTAATAGCGCACTAAGTAATGATGTGAAAATTGTAGGGTGGTAGGGAGTATTATGCAAGAAACTATTATCGCAATCATGCTGTTTATCTTCTTATTATTGCTTTATTAAGAATCCAACCCGTGAGTAAGATTTTTTTTTTTTTTTTTTATTTATTAAGAATGCAAAAGGCATCCCTTACTTGGCCTCGTAGAATCGAGAGATGAACTAATGTATTTGTTCAGTTCGTTAAATTTGACGAGAGACTTAATTTTATATATCAAATCTTAAATTGTAGTGTCGAGAAAGTAGTTTAATTTTCTTCTTCTTGAATCGAATATATTGCGTGCTAATCGTGCTTTCAATATAGTGTGTGGTTATGTAAGATTTTTAGGGCACATTTGACATTGCTTTTGAAAAGTCTAAAGGAAATTTTGAGATATCGTTTAACTAATTCTATGATAGTTCTTCTTCTTATTAGAAGAGTTTTAAAGGGATTTGGTTAAATATAAATTCTTTTAAAAGAAAAAAATTCTTTTAAAAATTAGTTTTCAAACAAAAATTAAAGTAGTTTCTCACTCTCTCTCAAAAACTCTTATATAATAAGCAAAAATAAAAATCATGCCAAAAGATCTATTAGTATGATTATGTAAGATTTTTATGCGAATCAAGCTTCTAGTTATATAGGATAACGTGACAAAAAAGATTAATTGTTGTAATTGATGTTTATGGACAAAAATTGCTTCCTCGGTTTCATCGATTTTCTCTCACTTCATCAATTGCAATATATGTAATAAAGAGGAGTGAGTATTTTGTTTAGGAAGCTGATATTTGTCGAAATGACATTTCCATGTATAGATTCCCTCATAATAGGGGGTCCACGACGAATAAAATAGGATAATGTGACAAAAAGATTAATTGTTGTAATTGATGTTTATGCACAAAAATTGCTTCCTCAATTTCGTCGATTTTCTCTCACTTCATCCATTGCAATACATCGATTTCTCTCTCACTTCATCCATTGCAATATATGTAATAAAGGCGAGTGAGTATTTTGTTTAGGATGTTGCTATATGTCAACCTGACATCCCGATGTATAAATTCCCTCACAACAGGGGGTCCACAATTTTTTTATTCCTCATGGGCCCCCCTTATTGTGAGGGGTCTGTACAGCGGGATGTCAACTCTGATGTACAAATAGATTTATCCTTTTGTGTATGCAGGTTTTTAAAGTTTA